CATACCACTGCAGTTTTGTCCCTGTTTTAACCGAGGTAAGAAGTAGCTTTTTTTCTGCTGTCTGGGGCTACTTTTTAATGGCTTTCGCCAACTGCGCATCCTTATGCTATTTTTACTATCTTTTGTCTGTCCCAAAACAGGGAGTGTACATGACCATGCATCCTAAAAGGTACTTGCGCCCGCGGTAGGTTCTGGCAACCTGTCCAAGAGTGCTTTGCGTCGGAACAGACACGCTAACCTTCTACGTAATACCGGTGGACATACGCTTGCGTCTAAGAAATGGGGTAATATTTCCGCGTCTGAAGCCGGGGACCAAACCTAACCTAGAAAGCCAAATTCCTCACCCGAAACGCAACCCCAGTTTATCCGGAAATTAATGCAAAACCAACCATATTACGGGGAGTTCCCGTCCTGAGACCTTATCGAGAGAGCCATGTTACCAATCCATATCAAGCTCTGAGTGTAAAAGCGCACTCGACGGAAATTTGAAACATCGCAAAAGGAAATACTTGCACGTTTGAAGACAACATGCGTGCTAGGATTTATTTTTTTGCGAATATGCAAGTCATAGGCAAGTCTTGCTGCAAAGAAGATAAAAGCATGATTATCGGGGCAGTACGCGTAGTAGTTAGAATTTCGTCCAACCGGTGAGTGGCTTTACGAAATTGCAAAACAGAACGGCTAATGGCCATGCCCGGTGCTCACCGTAATGAAGCCATTGACTGTAGGGAAAATAATAAACTCCGGGCGTCAAAAAGCCAGCAACGAAAGCCTGTTTAAGAAATGGCCTCAACTTCCCACGCGACCTTGACTCCAACATCCTCAGAAGCAATGTTATGTACTGGATATACTTGAAGGTAGGTGATGAAAGAAGTACACATGGGGAAAGTTTTCGTGGGTAACCCTGAAACCCCAGAAGCCACTGAACGCTTGCCAGAACCGATCAACGCGCGCTTTCGACAGCCATTTGTATCAGCGATTAATTGCTGACTCCTGCAGCCCAAGGTTGATCTGTCGTGGCGAGAATAGATGAACGATGATCTACCGTGTTCATATTTTAAGCAGAGTATTTTTACGCTACCACTAAGAAAAAAACAACAAAGCAAGTGCACGAACGAAGCGTGCGCACTCGTAAGATTTCATGTCCAGCCTGGATGACCAGTTATGAGTTTACATTTTTAAGGGCACATTAAAATACTCCTGTAGTAAATACAACGGCCGTCGGGTGTTTATTCCAAACGATGCTTTCTATGGGATGGTTGTGGGTTTTTATAATAGGTTTATTTCAAACAAAATAAAAAGTATAATTCAGAACACAATTTTGGCAATCGAACGCTTTAAGTAACTTCTCATCAGGCCAAACAGTTACAAAGGAGGTTTAAATTAAAAAAATCGATATTGTGTCTTTCTTTACATGCGGGGTCCAATTTAAACATCCTTTGTAACTTTTTGGCCTGATGAGAAGTTACTGAAAGCGTTCGCTTGCCAAAATTGTGTTCTGAATTATCTAATGGGATTTTTGCAACTTTGAAAAAGTATAATACAGAATATCAAATATACTTGGATTGATTCTAAAAAATGACAAATGGCATGTAAAATATTGTCGCACTAAACCACAATTTTAAGCAAGCACGAACGATGTTTTGGATAATACACTTGAGAACTTATAAAAAAACTCCATGCGTATTTATTCCGTAAGTCACGCTAGATGTCCCCCAGACTAAACATCCAAAATGGTAAGCAGGTAGGACGGCAAAATGACATAGCCAGGATCTCCGCTAATGCGTAGCTATGCTGACATTCCGGTGGGAGGCCTGGGAACGCCCCCTGTTGATCTGCAGTGCATTGCCGGGACGACGCAGCAGCCGAGAGATTGAAAGAAAAAGACGATCTTGAATTCTTGGCTGTAATCAGCCCTGCAGGAGCAGCGAAATAGTTTTCAAATCACGAATCCTATTACTGGCTGAAAAAA